ACTCCTCTGGATACTGGACTTGGGCGTGTGTCCAGGAGATCTCGATACTGCCCTCTTCTTCTGCCTCCGCCCATCAGCGGCCTCTGCAGCCTCTTCCAACAGAGTCCGTGCCTTCGACGACCCATTCTCCTCATCATCCTCGTCATCTGCTTCCTGATCAAAATCTCTGGAGGGCTCACCCTTCGAAGCCCTTGCTCTTGACCTCGAACGGGACCGCTTTTGGGGGCCGTCTTCCTCTGGTTCGGCTCGTTCAGACTGGTGGCTCTTGCACATGCGCACACCAAAGCGGAGCTGAGTACCAACACGATTACACTCAACATTACCACATTTGGAGGGGTATCGTTTCGTAAGGTATGAAGTTGCATGCTTGGGACACAAAAAGACTCCACCTTCTACGTTGTCTTCTACCAGAACTTGGTGAAACGCAGTACCTGCAGCTTTACAACGCGATTCAGCAAGAAACTGCACACCATCAGCAGTCTTCCAAGTGACCCTACTGGCATTACACGACTGTTCTTCCGTCTCGGATTCAGATGCATACTCTCGGATACGGGTCACCACTTCCGACACAGTCTGCTTCCCACGTGGTGCGATCCAGCGCCAGAGACCCTTGGTCGCTTCGACAGCTCCTTGATGGGAATGGGCAACCTGAAACTTCTCCGGGTTGAACTTCCGCACTACTCCATATTCGGCGAAGTGTTCTCCAACCTCTTCACCGCAAACCACATTGCGGCAAAGATGGATCCTGTCGACAGCAGCGATGCGCCTCACCAGTCCAGGTGAACCTCTGATGGTGTCAGCCTCAACAGGCAGGAAAAGCCCATGGGTCCGGATGTTCTGAACGTCGTTGCCTACACTGAAGACGGCAACTTCGTCCCCACGTCTCACCACCACCTGCTTGACAGCATCTCCAGTCCTCTTGAAGCTACGCAACGTCGATGTCTCTGGAACCACTCCCGTTCCAGGGCCGTGGAATTCAACATCTGATGCCTCAGGGGCGCCACCAGCAAAGCGATGCATGTGAAAGATCAGGGTACCCACCAGCCGTAGAACCCGTCTGCAGACCCAAATCACCGCCATGAGGCATGCTACGATGATGGACACCACCGGATAGCAAACCGCCCAGATGTAATGAGCAACAAGGCATGCTAGCAACAGTGCCCCTATTTGTAGGATCCTACGGCAACCAGTCCTAACACCTTGCCAGGCGTTTCCAAAGATCGCCCATCCCATGAACCCAACCAGAGTATCCACAATCAACCATAGATTGAAACCGAATTCCACTCTGGGAACATCAAAACCTTCAGCCCAGCGGTGAGCCTCCGAGAAAGCCTGGTTTCCCAGATCCCGCCACTGCCCGGTCAGGACGGAGAACCCCGCCAATCGATCTTGCAGCCGCTCCCACGTGGAAGATGGTGGAGGGACAGTCGTTGAATTCCCAGAAAACCACCACCCATTGCCGTGATCACAAAGGAAGCCGGCCAAAAGGAAAAAACGCAGCATGAGGCTATGGGGGGCCCCTCACACTGCCACAGTTTGGACTTGAGACAAATCCTACCCAGCATGCACTCACTACCACGAAAGTAACGCTTAACCCTTAAGCTCCAATTTATTTCCCTAATTTATCTCCCTATTTATTTCCCTATTTATTTCCCTAATTTATGCCGCTATTTATTTCCCTATTTATTTCTCTATTTATGTCCCTATTTATTCCCCTATTTATTTCCCTATTTATTTCCCTAATTTATTTCCTTAATTTATTTCTTTACTTATTTCCCTCTGTATTTCCCTATTTATGCCCCCATTTATTTCCCTACTTATTTCCCGATTTATTTCCCAATTTTTTCCCTATTTATTTCCCTAATTTATTTCCCTATTTATTTCTCTATGTATTTCCCTATTTATTTCCCTATTTATGTCCCTATTTATTTCCCTAATTTATGCCGCTATTTATTTCCCTAATTTATTTCCCTAATTTATTTCCCTATTTATTTCCCTAATTTATTTCCCTAATTTATTTCCCGATTTATTTCCCTATTTATTTCCTTATTTATTTCCCTAATCTATTTCCCTAATTTATTTCCCTATTGATTTCCCTATTTATTTCCCTATTTATTTCCCTAATTTATTTCCCTATTTATTTCCCCATTTAATTCCCAAGTTTATTTCCCTATTTCCCTAATCTATTTCCCTAATTTATTTCCCTATTGATTTCCCTATTTATTTCCCTATTTATTTCCCTATTTATTTCCCTATTTATTTCCCCATTTAATTCCCAAGTTTATTTCCCTATTTATTTCCCTACTTATTTCCCTATTTATTTCCCTATTTATTTCCCGATTTTCCCCCCTTTTTATTTCCCTAATTTATTTCCCTAATTTATTTCCCTATTTATTTCCCTATTTATTTCCCTATTTATTTCCCTACTTATTTCCCTATTTTTTTTTCCCTATTTATTTCCTTAATTTATTTCCCTATTTATTTTCCTAATTAGTTCCCTTATTTTTTGCCTCTTTATTTCCCGATTTTTGCCCCAATTTATTTCCCTAATTTACTTCTCTATTTATTTCCCTAATCTATTTCCCTATCTATTTCCCTATTTATTTCCCTATGTATTTCCCAATTTATTTCCCTATTTATTTCCCTATTTATTTCCCTATTTATTTCCCTATTTATTTCCCTATTTATTTCCCTATTTATTTCCCCATTTATTCCCCTATTTATTTCCCCATTTAATTCCCAAGTTTATTTCCCTAATTAATTTCCCTATTTATGTCCCTATTTATTTCCCTATTTATTCCCCTTTTTATTTCCCTATGTATTTCCCTATTTATGTCCCTAATTAGTTCCCTTTTTTTTGCCTCTTTATTTCCCTCATTTATTTCCCTATTTATTTCCCGATTTATTTCCCATTTTATGCCGCTATTTATTTCCCTAATTTATTTCCCTAATTTATTTCTCTATTTATTTCCCTATTTATTTTCCTATTTATTTCCCTAATGTATTGCCTTAATTTATTTCCCTATTTATTTCCCTTTTTATTTCCCTTTCTATTTCCCTATTAATTGCCCTATTTATTTCCCTATTTATTTCCCTATTTATTTCCCTCATTTATTTCCCTATTTATTTCCCTACTTATTTCCCTATTTATTTCCCTATTTATTCCCCTATTTATTTCCCTAGTTATTTCCCTAATTTATTTCCCTATTTATTTCCCTATTTATTTCCCTATTTATTTCCCTAATTTATTTCCCTATTTATTTCCCTAATTAGTTCCCTTTTTTTTGCCTCTTTATTTCCCGATTTTTGCCCCTATTTATTTCCCTAATTTATTGCCCTAATTTATTTCCCTCATCTATTTCCCAATTTATTTCCCTATTTATTTCCCTATTTATTTCCCTATTTATTTCCCTAAATTATTTCCCTAATTTATTTCCCTATTTATTTCCCTAATTAGTTCCTTTATTTTTTGCCTCTTTATTTCCCGATTTTTGCCCCAATTTATTTCTCTATGTATTTCCCTATTTATTTCCCTATTTATTTCCCTATTTATTTCCCTATTTATTTCCCTATTTATTTCCCTATTTATTTCCCTATTTATTTCCCCATTTATTCCCCTATTTATTTCCCCATTTAATTCCCAAGTTTATTTCCCTAATTAATTTCCCTATTTATGTCCCTATTTATTTCCCTATTTATTTCCCTATTTATTTCCCTAATTTATTTCCCAATTTATTTCCCTATTTATTTCCCTACTTATGCCCCTATTTATTTCCCTACTTATTTCCCTATTTATTTCCCTATTTTTTCCCTAATTTATTTCCCTATTTATTTCCCTAATTAGTTCCCTTTTTTTTGCCTCTTTATTTCCCTCATTTATTTCCCTATTTATTTCCCTATTTATTTCCCTATTTATTTCCCTAAATTATTTCCCTATTTATTGCCCTATTTATTTCCCTAATTTATTCCCTCATTTATTTCCCTATTTATTTCCCTATTTATTTCCCGATTTTTGCCCCTATTTATTTCCCTATTTATTTCCCTATTTATTTCCCTATTTATTTCCCTATTTATTTCCCTATTTATGTCCCTATTTATTTCCCTATTTATTTCCCTAGTTATTTCCCTATTTATTTCCCTCTTTATTTCCCGATTTCTTTCCCGATCAATTTCCCGATCTATTTCGTGATTCATTTCCCCATTTAGTTCCCTTTGGTTTTTCCCTAGTTACTTCTCGATTTATCTTCCTATTTTTTATTTCCCTATTCATTTCCTGAGTTATTTCCCTATTTATTTCCTTCCCTACTCATTTCCCCATTTATGTCCCGATTTATTTCCCTATTTATTTCCCGATTTATTTCGCTATTGATTTCAATGTTTATTTCCCGATTTATTTCCCGATATATGGCCCTATTATATTTCCCCTATATATGTGTTCCCTTTTATTTCCCTCTTTTTCTCCATTTACTCCCTTATTTAAATGTTTCCATATTTGTTTCTCTATTTTCCAATATATATGTCCCTATTTGTTTCCCGATTTATTTCCCTATTTATTTCCCAAATTATTTCCCTATTCATTTCGATATCAGTGTCTCTTTTTGTTTTCCTATGTGTTTCCATATTTTTCCTTATTTACTTCCCTATTTATTTCCCCATTGATGTCCCTATTTGATTTTCTATTGATTTTCCTTTGTCGCTATTTATTTCCCTATTTTTGTTTCCCTGACGAATGTGATTCTGGACTGTCTGTAGGAGACGGGGAAGGAATTTTCGTTGCAAAATGTCGGGAACTGTTGGACAAGATTCCAAACTCTGATTATTTACATGCCATGTGAGCTGATCCAATCATCTCTTTCATGCTTTAAAAATCGGATAGGATAGAATAAATCTATATAAATCTCCTATCTGGATCTGCGCCCCTCACAAATCAAAAAAGCATGGGTTTGTTGGATCATGTTGCAATATCATCAAAAATTCTGTCAGCGAAATCCGAAAGTGGCTCACTGTTCACCAACTCCATACCGCGCTGTGCTACGTGCCTCCTCTTTCCACTCGCTGTAGCGACGCCTCTCGTACTCATCAAGAGCCTGACACAAACGCATCACTGGATTTGCTCGAACGGAACATGGCGATTGTTCAAACAAACAAATCACAAGCCCAAAAAGTGGTGCGTTCACGTGTTTTTCCCATTAATTGACAACGATTCGAAATCATCACTGATTTCTACCGCGCCAGGTTTTGGCACCTCCAGCGTCTGGTCGTGAATTCGACAAAGTTCCTTGGTCATGGAGAATAACGGCTGAACTGGACGTAAAATTTGGGAACATTGGCTGGGAAAGTGGTGAACATAACTCTGACTGACAACAATTGAAACCGATGGCTTTAGTGCAAAATATGTAAGCCCTGAAAGAATGAAACATTGATCCATGCACGGAAACGTGTTGGTTAGCTCAGCAACATGTTTCGGTTGGAGGCAAACAACTGTCTTTTCCAAGATGCGAAAAATGATATTGTGTTGCCTGTGTTGCATGTTGATGTCGCAAAGCAAGAATAAGAAATCACCCGCAATCGGCTGAGTATGGACATTATCATGATCTATCATGTAAGAATCCCAGTCTATCAGTCAGCTTTAATCTAACATTGAGACCATGAAGAGTTCACTACGACTTCAAAGTCAGCATGGAAACCCAGCAGAAACCCCGAGGGCCCGAGCGCGAAAGCTTTCGGGCACTTCTTTCATCAACTCGTTGTAGGCCAGGATCTTTGGCATGGGCTCCTGGGAGCCGAAGCGCGGAATCTTGCAAGGAAAAAAGATCAAAAGTGTGAAATAGACAAAATTTCTGAAATTCTCAAAAATCTTTCAGAAATATTCATTATAAACATATTTTAAGATTGGAATACTTGTCATGCGTGTCTTTCTTCATTGTGCACACTATGCGCATCAAAAGAACTCCCAACCGCAGCAGGGTCCTGCAACCGCGTTCGTAAGCTGCGCGCCCATGACAGCGCGCCCGCCACAGGAGGCAGGTTGGAGAAGATGGGTGCATCTGTCGGGACGGCAATCGGATGAAGCAACAAAAGCGTTGGGACACGTTGGGACAATATGATCAGCTACAAAGGGAGCTCAAACCAAATGAAAACATCCACCAAAATCAAATGAGGCTGAAAAGTGCTGAGCAGAAAAATGAGGATTGAAACCAAAAAATATTTGAACCCAAGTGGTGAATCAATCTCAGCTCATGTTGGTCAAGGGGGAATCGAAAAGTCTCAAGAAATCAAAGCATCTAACGCTGGCGTTCGCAGAAAAAAATCAATCGCTCAAATTTTGGTACCGGAAACTTGTACGGTCTCTGTAGTCGGCTCTGCCTGTTTCGCAGGTGTCAACCTTCTCCTGATTGGAGCTAAAATTGGCCTCAGAATCATTTTTTGACGCATTCAGGTTACTAGTCAAGTCGCCAAGCCTCACTATCCCGCCTCTTGAGAAGATGCCGTAAGCTTCCAAATCATATCTAAAGTTAACACAGAAACTCCTCAGATATGTCAAGGATATTGTCCTCTGTCTGAAAATGGCACATTCCTCGTTAAAATTCTCACTGGGGAATGTGAATTTGTGACCCCAAAACCAAACAAATGACCCATAACAAAACTATCGACCCATCATGACCCATCCCAGGCGCATGGATCTCATCCACATCCTGTCGATACTGCGCGATAAGCACCTCGGGGCGGACCAGGCTTGACTGGGCGTGACTGGGGACAGATTGGCAGTCAAACAGAGTCAAATTTGAGACCCACATGCTCAAGCATAGTCAAATTCCAGTCCAGGAGCTGATTAACTTTGAGATGCACATGTTCAGTATGAACTGAATGCAAGCCATACGTTTTTCAACAAATGCAAAAGCGAATCTTGTCGTGCAAATCCCTATCATCTGAAATCCAAAATACGGGTCACATTTTGCATCATTCTATGCCCATCTTTGTCCGTCCCCTGTGGGCCCCCCATGTTCCAACGGTGTCGGCGCCTTCTGTCGACTGACCAACTCCGCTTGGATCACGGGTCGTTCCAGGAGACCCTGTGGAACGGACACAGTCGTTCTGCTGTAACAAAGAACGAGTCGGTCTTTAGCGTATGTCTTTAGCGTCTTATGTCATTTCGAAGGGTCCCAAAGGTCCGGGTCGGCGTTTGAAATTCACAGCGGTGTTTCAAGGGCCATTCAGGATCTTTAGGATTCGGACCGGGAAATACCGGGAAGCCAGGATGCCACTGGGTGAATCGAGGATTGATGCAACTTTGTCATGCCTCAAAATTGTCACCCAATTTGACCCATCTTTGGCCACATCTATCAGAACGCAATAAACATGCTCAAACCATGGAAGCAATAGTGCCCATTCACCAATGCACCCAAATCCAGACCAAAAAAGACGTTTACACTGACAAACATTGACGTTCACGCGGCAATCAGCCGATGATAATAAGAGTTTGTGTTCGTTACTATGAAGTTCCATACTATGCTTTGTATTTGCTGGGTTGGTCATATGGTGAATATTGAATTCTATCCCAAGCCTTTCAGTCTCCTTCCACCATTTGTTCATTTTTTTTACAGCAATATGTCTTAATATGGTTCAATCTGTTTTCATATCATGATGTGTTTTCATACAATCATAATGTTTAATGTGTTTCATGAGTTAATCCCATTTCGAGGTGATTAAACTCCATGAAAATCTCCATGTTCCTTGGCCAAAAACCGTCAGAACGGTGCCTCAAAGGCGTCCAACAGCTTGGCACGGCCGTGCAAAGTGTCCTGGTCGTTGAAGGCCGCCGCCAGGACGCTGCCCAAACGCCGGTCCAAATCACCTTGGCGAGATGGGATGGGATGGCTGGGATGGGGAAAGAGTGGCAACTTTAA